TAGGGAGATAAGAAGTCCCACTTCTTGTGAGTGAGGGACTGGGAAATGCTGGCTGGACTGGATTGCAAAGCCAGGGGATCTGGCTGGCAAGGGGAAAAATCAGCTGACACTGGAGGAGGGGGAGGGATCAAGGGAGGAGATACCACTGAGGCTGGGGCTGAGGCCAAGGTCTGGGTGGTCCTTGCCTCTGGGTAAAGGGCCTGGGGAGGAGGTGTTGCCAAAACCTGAGCAGGGGTTTGAGGAGAAATTGCAGGTTGGGAAGGGGGTTGGGATGGAGGAAAAGCAAGGGAAAGAGGGGTTAGGCAAAGGAGGAGGGGGATGGGAAACGGGGGGGGGGGAGCACCCCGAGGGAAAATGGGGAGAATAGGGAGGGGGTAGATTCTGGGGAGATGCTATAGCCCTGGGAGCCATAAAAAGAGTGTCATCCAAAAATTCTAGTTGATCCACATTCCCCATTCGTGGGGTGGCTCTAGCTAGGGGCATCCTACAATCTTTTCTGAGAATGGGGTCCCGAGAAAGTTCTACAAAAGTCATTATGTAGACAATCTCCACCCATTTTCCTTCTCTGGAAATAATATATATATATAATATATCATTTTATAATATCGTTTTAACTCTGAGAGCATATTTTGCTCTAATGTACCAAAAACGGGCCATGCCTCATAATTTTCCAGGTGATACTGGGGCCAAATGGTGTTGCACAAGAATACCAGCCTTGTCTTTTGTAGTTCTTTAGAGAAACTAAATTTTTCCCAATTTCATAAAATACAGACCAAAGACGAATCTTCAGGAATTGAAGAGGATTGACCCTTTGTGGGTGTGGGGACTGGAAGTCCCTCCCTCCTAAAAAAAAGATTTAGGAATAAGACTTGGGAAACAGACAAAAAAGTCAAAAACCCAAAGAAGTATGTTAATTTTTCCCAAGTCCCTGGTGCTGAGAGAACCGTGAGGCTCATGTCCATGGTCTTGAACAGAATCACTGGACTGAGAGCCTGAAAGCACGAGGCAAGGCTTTCTAGTTGCTTGGAAATCCACCCAACTGAAAGGTAAAAAAAAGGGATTAGGGGAAGAGGGGAGGCTTATATACCTTCCAGTCCCAGCTAGTGAAGAGCTTAGTATAGGCAGTTTTTCCCAGTGCAGGGAACCATATGATGCGGTCCAGAGATTAGGGGTCCTGGCACCCCAAAATCACAATACCCTGGTCCTGCCCAAAAGAATTCGACCCAAGCCTTCTTGCAGCCAAAAACAAAGTTTATTGAAGATTCGCCATATTAGCTAGACTCTTAAGGAGTCTGAGCATCTATGGGCTATTGGCTAGATTGTAAAAATCTGAGCATCTTAATGGAGACAAGATGGACCTTACATACAGAAAGACTGTGGAAGAGTGGCCAAGTAGTCCATAAGGTCACAGAATCACCAAGGGTGAGAAGTGGTCTGGGGCCAGAGTTCTTCCTTTCTGGGGCTCAGATTCCAACCCCATCAGCTCCACTCTCCTGCAGAGATTTCTTGCACCCCAGAACACTGTCATAGTGCTGACTGGCTGTGGTAGTCCCAGCAAACATCTGTATTCACTGCCCTGGGGGGCGGTGGAGAGAACCAGGATGGGTGGCTTGGTCATGAGTTGTCTTCATCAGGGTCTGAGGAGAGGTCATGGTGGCAGACACCACGCTGCTTCAGCTTCCTCAATCACAAGGAGGTTGAGTTGAGCTTTGAAGGAGGGTAGGGATTCTGAAAGGTGGAAGAGTATATTCTTGGCATAGAATATATAGCCTATGCAACAACATGGAGACAGGAGGTATAACAGTTTATATGAGGAACAGAAAATAAGACCGGAAATTTGGCCGGAACTTAGAGAGCATGAGAGGTTGTAAAGTGGAAAGAAATAGATTAGTGCCAGATCATGAAGGGGAAAGCTAGCTTTGGCAAGAAGAAAGAACTAAGAACTAATTACCTCTTTCTCAGAAGTTGGAGAAAAGGAAAGTAGGAAGGATAAAAATGCAGAATGATTTCATGTACAATGCAATGAGTGCTGACTCTGGGGTCCAAGGACCTGGGTACAAAGTCCATCCATCTGTGACGTTGAGTAAGTCACTTAACCTTCAAAGGACTTCAGTTTCCTCACTTGTATGTTTTTTTTTTTTGTTTTTGTTTTTTTGCTTTTTGACAGGCAATTGGGGTTAAGTGACTTGCCCAGGGTCACACAGCTAGTACGTGTTGTGTGTTGTGTGTCTGAGGTCGGATTTGAACTCAGGTCCTCCTGACTTCAAGGCCGAAGCTCTATTCACTGTGCCACGTAGCTGCCCCCAGTTTCCTCACTTGTAAAATGAGTGGGATGAACTACATGGGTTCTGAGATTTCTTCTAGCTCTAAACCTATGATTTTATGAAGTGTGGAGTTATAATAAATACAACTTAATTGGTGAATACTGTTAGTTGGTATTTGGGACACTAGGGGGCAGTCTAAGCCAATTAAAGTTAAGAATGTTGTCTTTAAACAGCAAAGCAAGTCCTTTCACCTGTTAGGATATTTTATTTCTGTTGTGAAGAGGGAGGAAGTCTTTATAAGATTAAGTCAGGGTTAGAAAGCCAGAGTGAGTGAGTGCCTCTATGATACTTGCTCTCTAGGGAGGCTTAGAAAGACAGATTGGGATCATAAAAAATAAACTATGAGCTGTGATTGCTGAGCCATTATCACTGATCTTTGAAAAATTATGGAGAAAATAAGGTGCTTCCAGATAATGAACAAATATTGTCTTGATTTTTTAAAAATCTTTTTTAATGGATTCTTTTTGTTTTTTTGTCACATTCATATCAGAATACATATACATATATGTTCATATATGTATCTATATATACATATGTAATTTCCTGTTCTCCCTAGTCATCTAACAATTAAGGAGGAAAAAAAACAGTTCTGCAAATGAACTCATCAACTCCTGCTGCTATTTATTACACGAAGAATTATTGCTGTCCAGTTGTGTCTAACTCTTTGTGACTCTATTTGGGGTTTTCTTGGCAGAGATACTGGAGTGGTTTGCCATTTCCTTCTCCTGCTACTTTTACAGATAAGGATACTGAGGCAAACAGGGTTAAGTGACTTGCCTGGAGTCACACAGCTAGTAAACGTCTGAGGCCAGATTTGAGCTCAGGAAGATGAGTCTTCCTGATGCCAGGGACAGCACTCTGTGCACTATGGCGCCACCTAGCTGTCCCATGAAGAGCGGTACAATGAAGAAAGCATTGGCTATGGAGTCAAATGCAATTTCTGATGCTTACTACTCATATGACCTCAGACAAGTCATTCAAACTTCCTGACCCCAAACAAATTCACTGATCCCAGGTTAAGAACCCCTGGCCTAAGGAAATCCTGACATCCATATTCTTTCTCTACCTTTGGTAATGGTTAAGATGGATCAACAACTGTCCCACAGCTCTGAGCCCCAAGCCCTAAATTGAACCAATCCCCTGGAGGATGCTCAGTCCCAAACTGCTTTCTCTCCACTACATTTGAACACTATGAGTCATTACAGGTCTTTGGCATTTAGATTACTTTTTGGTTTTGTTCCTTCTATTTACATTGTGGTAGTCGTAGTGTATATGCTGCTTTCAGGTTCTACTTACTTCATTCTATATAAGTTCAGGTAAGTGTTCCCAAGCTTCTGTTCATTGATAGTGGCTCAGCACTCACAGCAACCTATTGTTTTTTTACTATTAAATGTGAGTTATCATTAGTTCATATTTTTATTTTTTACAATCCCAGTCTTTCTAAGCCTCCCTAAAGAGCAAGCTGTTCATATTCACCCTATCATACGGTACAGTAATATTCCATCACATTCATGTACCACACTTGATTTAACTATCCTCCAAATGATAGGTACCTGATGAGGATGGGATCTAGGCCCCAAAAAGGAAAAACCCTGATTTTCCCACAAGAACGCTTGGGTCAGATTCTTTCGGGCAGGATTCATGTTTTGTGATCTCGGGGTCCCGGCACCCCTAAACCTCTAGACCTCATCAGTACCTATTTTATTTTCTGGGGTTTTTTTTTTTTTTTTGCTGCCAAAAAAGTACTATTAATCTGGTGTATATGGAACCTTCTGACTTTCCATCTGTTCTTGATTCAGTAAGAGTTTAGTACTAGAAGTGAGATCTCTGGGTCAAAAGGATATGGACCTTCTGGTCAGAAAGATATTTACTCACTATTTTTTTTTTTTTTAGTAATTCCAAATTGCTTTTCAGAGTGGTTGGACCAATTCACAGCTCCACTAAGTATGTTAATATTGGTCCCTGCCCTTTCATAGAACCTCCAACATTAAATATTTCTATCCATGTCATCTTTGCCAATTTGCTGGATATGAGTTGAAAGCTCTGAGTTATTTTGATTTTCCCTTCTCTTATTTATAATTTGGAACAGTCTTTCATTTTTTAGGAATGAAACATGCTGTCCCGTCCCGCGGGACATCAACGGAGGTCCGGACCTGTAAAAGAAGGAGGGGAGCAGGGGACACAGGAAATGGAGACAAGACAGGCTTTCTGATCAAGTCTCATTTATTGAAGGCTAGCTCAGGGTAATTATACACACCGTAAGAAGGAGTGGGGGAGTTCCATCACCGGTATAGGGGCGGGGTATTCCAGGAAGAGGTACAGCTTTGTCCGTAATTTGTTCTTATCACAAGGACCACCAAAGGTATAGGGGTATTCC